CAGGTACTCCGCTCGCCGAGTTGGGTTTGAACCTTTGTGTCTGCACATCATCTTCAAGAACGCCACAGCGTTTGCTCGGGTCGGACTCGCGTAAAAAAGGAGGAGGAGGAGGAGGAGGAGGGGGAGGAGGAAGAGGAGTAGGAGGTGATGTAGGAGGAGGAGGCGGAGGCGGAGGAGGAGGAGGAGGAGGAGGAGGAGGAGGAGGAGGAGTGGTAAGCAAGTTGGTTTCCCCTCGCTCCCCCTTCTTCAGGCTAGCTGTTGCTGGCTGCGCGATGGAACGACGAGGTGCGGAACAGAGAGCCGCAGAGTCTCGGCTGGACCACAGTCTGAAAAGGACCGTTGGGCTGGACTGCTCAGCGTGGATTGTGACGAAACAATGGTGTAACAATCACGATGACGATAACGACGGCGACTAAAACGGCGAGGATGACTATGGTATTGTTGATGATGGTGGTGGTGATGATGCTGGTGATGACGATGCTGATGGTAATGACGATGCTGGGGAGAAGGCAGGGGAAGAGGGGGAGGGGGATGCGGATGAGGATGGGGATGAGTATGATGATGTGGAGGAGTAGGATGGGGAAGGCGAGCCATCCACGGTCCAATCCATACTGTTTAAAATCTGTGTGTGGGCGATCCCGTAACATGTTCCTTTCCGAATGCAGCTGTGGAGTGTTATGGCAGTTGGGAGTACAATGTCGTTTACTGAGCGCAACGATCTGCATCCAGCGTGCAGTAGGACCGCAGACGCAATCCAGGATCGTGCGACAGATGGTAGATTTCGGAGAGCTCGAGGCGAGGGTCGGGTGTGGACGTGGTGAACCAGGAGCTGGAACGGAAGCGCGCCGAGAACAGGAGGCGGCGTGGCCGAACATTGCGAGACCACTCCGCATTCTTGGAGCTCAAGCAATGGACGCCGTGACATTTATTGCACGGTTCACATCGTGGACAACAACAGGGCAGCGTGAGCTCGATCCCTGCGTTTGGCAAGGCTGGTGCCGATGTGCCGCCATCGAGGCGAAGGCCATGCTGACACCGACGCGGCAGATGGCATGCGCTATTCGGCGATCAGCTCGATGCGACACACTTGCAACATGTGCAACGCGGAAGTGAGCCCACCCATGTCAAAGTGACGTGGACGGGTTTGGGGCGCCCCACGCATGTCGTTACGTGGTCAGCAGCCCCGCGGTGGGTCATTGCGTCAGAGACTTGCCAGACGGTTAGACATGGGGCTGAACACCAAGATGGTAATAGAGGCGCGCGTTGCAGCGCAAGGGAACCGATGCGCATGGTTCGCTCATGGGGCGTAGGGTCGATGCGCGTTGCCTGGTGGTTGTCTCCTGGAGTACCAAGAACGACTCGATTACGATAGTGATGGGTTGTGACGGAGGTGAGGAGGGAGAGGAGCGGGGTGATGATGACGGTGATTATAATGATGTTGGTAAAGATCATGTTGCAGATTGGAGGATGGACGGTTCCGGTCGGGAAGTAAGGGTGTACTTGATGGCTGGTATGGTATGTGCAGAATCATGAACGGCGTCGGGGGGGATGAGGATGAGGATGAGGATGAGAATAAAAATGATGATGGTCTAACTCATGCTGCACGCAAATCGCTTTAGCAACACTGTTCGGTGGATCGCAGTGGATGATGCGCAGGCAAAGGGATGATGATGATGATGATGATGATGATGATGATGATGATGATGATGATGATGAGGATGATGAGGATGATGAGGATGATGATGATAATGAGGAAGTGGAGGAGGAGTGGGAAGAGGAGACGCAGCATCATGAGGAGAAGACAGACGGGGGCGTAATGCCATCTGCGAAGATGTGGTCGATTACAGTTATGCTGTTGCTCTTGCCTTCTTGGTCCTGCCGCCGATTTTCCTCGCAATCGCTTCTCAATGTGAATGCGGGTTTCTTGTCACTTCGTTGTCTTTTATTGTGTGATACTTTTGTGATGGGTTCAAAGTGTATTTTTCTGCTAAAGAGTCGCTCTAGATAGTGGCTGGATGCCACTTCGTTTCATCACCGATGTTTCTGCGTAGAACTGCCAGCCAAATGTGTTCACTGATTGCTTATTTGCTCACTTGATTCCCGGCGTTCTTGCCTGCCTGCCTGTCCCGCTGTGTTGTTTTTCTTGCATTTTGCCATTACTCGTAGTGCCATTGGTCGATCGATTGGGCCAGGCTTGCTTTACCATTGCACCCTTGTTATTTGATCGGGAGGCCAACCCTGCGGTTCACATCAACAGACTCTGTCTGAACCGTCAGTCTCGGAGCCCACGTGTTTCGTCACACACTTCGTATGCAGCCGTTCTGGCTCGCACTTCTCTGCCTGAGAAATCCGCCGATTTTCGCCTAGTTCTCTACCGCCAGCCCTCGCGGCGCCATGGCCGAGGAGGAGGGGCAGGAAGTGATATTCACCGAGAACACCGCCCCGGATCGCGAGATCTGGGACGAGAAAGGCGGCTTGATCAAGAAGGGCGCCGCGGAGATCGCGGAGCGCGACTCGGACCACGTGCCCGAGGTAAAGATCCTCACGACGATGGGGATGTTTGCGGTGCCCGTGACCGCGGAGACCACGGTCGGCGAGATCCGTCAGAAGGTCCAGGAGTGGAAGCCCGAGTACTCTCTGGAGCAAATCGAGCTCGTCTGCAAGGACAAGGATGCGTGGGGGCCCCTGTTCAATAAGACGTCGCGGCCGCGCGACGACGACGAGACAGTGGAGTCACTGTGGAGCGACTGGGACATTCCGCGGCGCATGATGCAGGTGGCTCTGTGGATCAAGGAGAAGAATGAGGAGACGGGCGAGTGGGAGAGCACCTTCTGGAAGATGCTTGAAGAATCCAAGTGTGACGATTGGAGCTTCCAGGGGCACACGATCTGAGATGGCCTGGGACTCTCCACTCTGAATAAGTGCTGCCGTGCGCGTCGGCGCGTAGATCACATTTCCCGTGAATGGGCACTGCGCGTTTTGTCGTTGTTGTTTGATGCCGCGGAGATATTGATGCTGAACTGCGTAGTAAGCCGAAGCATTCGTGTTGTGCAATGTTAGCCAGCATGGCACGGTCAGCAGTGTCAGATCAGCGGAAGCAGGGATGTTTTCGTGCTTGCAGTTTGCTGGGGCAGCATCAGGAAGAAGTCGGGAGGGAGCCTGGGAAACCTCGAAAGTTCCATCGGTGATAAGGCCAGAACATGCACAGCGGAAATCGCACCCCATGTGGTGCCCGTCTCTCTGGTGTTTTTGTTTTGCTTTGTTTTGTTGTACACTGGCGAAGCAGTCTTGGATCTCTGTAGTGAGGCCGCCCCACGTGGGTCGCATGCTTTGGTCAACATCTCATCCCGCAAGATTGCGATCTGTCTGCGCCCGTGCCAAGCAGGAATGTCGTTGACAGCGTTCACCGCGTTCTTCTTCAGCCCACCGACCGAGTGCCTGATTCTGGCGTGTTCGTGTCGCTGAAGACAGGGCTCCTGCAGGCGTTGCTCCCTCTCTTGAAACACATTCGGCAGTCATTGTTTCTCGTGTGCGGCATCTGATGTATATCACGCCTGGTATAACGCTCATGCGTTTTCCTTCGACACGTCCCAAAAAACGTGCAACGGGCAGCAGGCGCCGTATGCTGTCGTATGTAAGATGTAGTGCTACACCTGATGCTAGCCGTTGAAGGTGAGAGCTAAGCTGGATTCTAAGATAACCATCAGATCGTATCCACACACTCTATCACAGATGACCTACGGCGATGCTTTGTACGCGAGCAGTCAATCCAGTCACTCGACGCCAGAAGACCAAGACACTGTTTGTGCTATCGCTGAAAGCCAAGGCCAACCTATCAGGCAAGTCGACAGACAGTGATAGGGCTACAAGTTTAGCAGGTAAGCCCTACGCAACGCCAAAGCCACGACATCTCGACACCACGGTTCCAGTGCATGACGACACCATGACATAGGGACGCCGGGACACCGCGGTTCCAGGACACCGAAACGCCCCGTCCTTCGCCTACGGGCACCGCCCGGAGCGGCAGCTTGAGGACACACATGTCTCCATCGCTCGAGGACGCTCGCGCAAACTTCCGATTGCACGTCGCGTGCGAAACGAAAGACAAAACCATGAACCACGAAAGTGATCGTTTTTTTTAGTTCACTGTTTTGCCGATCGGCTCGGGCCCTGGCACCTCCCCCCTCCCCCCCCTGTGGAGTGGATCTTGGCTGTTTTTTGGCGCCTCCTTCGAGCAGGTGGAGCCCCTCCCCCACAGGACACACTGTTGCAAACAGTCGCACTAAGCAGAGGTCCGGAGCCAGATCCTGCCCTCCCCCCCTTTCCCCCAGTGTGTAAACGCGGAATAAGAAAACGCTCACAAATTACGAGCACTCTTGTTGTCTCGCCATTGGCCTCCGAACCATAATTACAATGAGCTTCGAGATTTGCGATAGGTTCTCCCGTGCATTTCAATCGCTACCCAGAGGGTGGACTCCTTGTAGATGTCTTGACTGCTGTTGTTAGCGATCAGCGAAACCTGATATATTCGTGGTCTGGCGGCTCTCTTTCTGGAATTCTTTACGCTTCGCGTATCCCCACCAGCCCATCTCACAGCAGCAACTCTCGCGAAGCATGCCGACAGTCGTGTTTTTCAGGCGTGTGTCCGCTTGGCCCCGCATATCTCCCCTGTTCCTCCTTCCTCCCGCCTCCTTGTACATCCTCCTTGTGGGGGGAGCGGGAGAAGGACGAGGCGAAGGAGGAGGGAGAGAAAGCGCTCCTCGTGGTTTGAGTCGTTTGGGGTTTCTCGTCCTGGTCTGAGTCGTTCGGGCCCTTCTTCCTGGTGTGAGTCGTTCGGGCTCTTCGTGGTGTGAGTCGTTCGGGCTCTTCGTCCTGGTGTGAGTCGTTCGGGCTTCTCGTGGTGTGAGTTGTTCGGGCCCCTCGTCCTGGTGTGAGTCGTTCGGGCCCCTCCTCCTGGTGTGACTCGTTCGGGCTCCTCGTGGTGTGAGTCGTTCGGGGCCTTCGTCGTGGTGTGAGTCGTTTGGGCTCCTCGTGGTGTGAGTCGTTCGGGCGCCTCGTCCTGGTGTGAGTCGTTCGGGCCCCTCTTTCTGGTGTGAGTCGTTCGGGCTCTTCGTGGTGTGAGTCGTTCGGGCCCCTCGTCCTGGTGTGAGTCGTTCGGGCCCCTCGTGGCGTGAGGCGTTCGGGCACCTCGTCCCCTTTTGGGGCATCTTGGGGGCGTCTTGGCGGCCCCAGGGGCTTCTAGGAGCGTCTTGGGTGCCTTGGGGGAGCCTCTTCGGGCCTCTTGGGAGCCTCTTGGAGGCCGTTTGGGGCGTTGTGGGGGCCTCTTGGCGGCCCCAGGGGCTTCCAGGAACGTCTTGGGTGCCTCGGGGGAGCCTCTTGGGGCCTCTTGGGGGCCTCTTGGGGGCATCTTGGGGGCCTCTTGGAGGCCTCTTGGGGGCCTCCTGGGGGCCTCTTGGGGCCTCTTGGGGGCCTCTTGCGACCTCCGCAGAAGCGCAAATGAGCGCGAGCCCCTGCGAAGGACAACATGAGCCCAAAACCTTCGTAAAATCAATGATTTTGAGAAGAAGGAAGAGGAGCGCTGCCCCCTCAGAAGGCCAACATGGGGCCGAAACCGTAGTAAAATCAATGATTTTGGCTTCACAGAAGAGGAGAGGGTTTTTTCAGAGCCCCCCCGTCGGGGCCAGAATCCTCGTGAGGGTCGTCGTTTTTTGGCCTTCCCAGGAGTCGAAAAAGACCCCCCTGAGAACACTCGGGACTCCCTGTCCAGGCCCAGGGGGAGGGGGTAGGGGGAGGGGTAAACCCCTCCCCGAAGGGGAAGAAGGGGGGTTGGGGGGTTGAGGACAGAGAGAGCTCTCTAAACCACTCACGCCCAAAGGGCTGTTGGGATTTCCAGGCATTAGTCACCGATCTCATTCGAAATGCTTGGATCATCATAACAGGTCCCTGGTGGACTTCCGCGAGTCATGACCTGGGCTTTCTTCACAAACGTTGTAGATACACACGTTCTTGCGCATCGCTGTGTAGTCTTAGCTGGAAGTGGGAGCATGTCTCTGTTATCATGTATGTGTGAGAGAGAGAGAGAGAGATAGATGGAGAGCATGTCTGTGCACAAAGAGGTGTGTGCGTGTATATATACACACAATATTACAGATCTGAATATCTAGGCATGTGAGAGATTCCGCGTCCAGGCCCCAGCACGCGGTCGGTGCCCCCACGGCGGCTACCCACGGGGGCGCCCGGATAAGGAGGATGAGGGTGAGGATTAGGAGGAGGAGGAGGAGGAGGGCGAGCAGAGGAATGGGATGTTGACGGAACACGTTCCCGCTCAGTTGATGTTGATTCTCTTAGGTGGGAGGAGGAGGAGGAGGAGGAGGAGGAGGTCAGAGGAGGAGCAGGAGCATGATGATGATGATGATGATGATGATGATGATGAGGAGGAGGAGGAGGAGGAGGAGGAGGAGGAGGAGGAGGAGCAGGGTTGGGGAGGAGAGGACGGCGACGACGACGACGACAGGAGTCGAGCATCACAGCTTGCGAAGATCTTTCGGTCTGGGAGCTCTTGCTTACACGGCCAGATGGCCTCCAGACTGCCCAACAGGCCTCCAGGACACCCCAAGAAGCCTCCAAGAGCCTTCCCAAGAGAGCTCCAACAGGCAAACATCGTCCCAATCCCTGGGGGAAACATACATTTTAGCCTCTGCGAGTTTTTGGCCTTCACGGCGTCCAAGACGGCCCAAGAGGCATCCCAAATCATCCTAAGACGGCCCAGGAGGCCCCCAAGAGGGCCCCGAGACGCCCCAAGAGGGCAATAAGACGGCCCACGAGGTGCCCAACACGGCCCAAGAGGGCCCTCAGAGGGCCCTCAGAGGGGTCTACGAGGGAGAACTCGAATTGAGATTTCGAGCCCTCCGCCCCAAAGGGGCTCCCGAAACCGCCAGCAGGCCCCCCAGAGGCCCCAACAGGCCCCTTCAGAGACCCTAGAAAAGCCCCGCCCCCCAAGGCACACAAAATGCTCCCAAGAGGCCCCAAGAGGCCTCCTGACAGGCCCAGCGCCATAACCGTTCCAACCGATTCACATCGAAAATTGATCCAGGATAATTCCGGGTGCGGCCAGGGAGGCTGGGTTCCGAGCGCCCCAGGAGGGCCCAAGACGGCCCACATGGCCCCAAGACGGCCCCGGAGTGCCCCAGGAGGCTTCAGGAGGGCCCGACGAGCGCCCCGATGGGCCCAAGATGGCCCAAGATGGCCACTCGACGGCCCGACGGGCTCCCCAGATGGCCCACGGGGGCCCTAAGACGACTCCCAAGAGGCCCCCGTGAGGCAAAACATGTAGGTCTTCCTTAGGTTTCCGTGCCATCTTCGCATGCTCGGCGTCTCGCTCTCCAGAGCGCTCGAGACGGCCGAAGTGGCCCCCGAGAGCGTTCCAAGATGGCCCAATGGGCGCCCAAGAGGGCTCCAAGACGAGCGCAGGACGGCCCAAGAGGGGCCCAAGACGGCCCTAAGACGCTCCAAGAGGGCCCCCGCAAGAGCTCCAGACGGCCCAAGAGGGCCCCAAGAAAGCCCAACTGGGCCCCTGGACCGCCCCAGAACAGCCCCAGGAGGCCCTCAAGATTGCCCTGAGGGACCAAGACGGCCCCAGAGGGCCCCAAGACGGCCCAGGAGGCCCAATGCGACGGTTTGGAAACGGCCTAAAGAGACTCCGAAGAAGGCCCATTCGGGACCATACATTAGGACGGCGACTGTCAGAAGACGTGTATGTATATATATATACATATATATATATATATACGTATGGATATGTGTATGCGCATGTATATGTACATGTACAGACGCACACACACATATATATACACATATGTATCTTTGTATGCATATATGTATACATGTATATACATCTGTTTATGTGTATATATATGTGCACATCGAAGATGAGGCGTGCGCCTCTTCCGTGGCACCATCGTGGATGATGTATTCGGCCAGTGCGTCTAGCTACTCTTTGAAACCAACCCTTGGAGGAGCGACCTGGGGACTCACGGCCAAGTCTCGCAGCTGTTCTGTGGAGGACCTGCAGTGCAAAAGTACCCTCGGAGCCGATCCGTTCAGTAGATACTCAGCCGATACCCTGCCTCGGAAGTAAAGAAATATGTACAGGTGAATGTATACGTACATGTTTATGTATATGTATATACATATGCATATCAACGTATATACATATGTATGTGTGCATGCACATGTATATGTATAGGTACACCTGTATGTGTATGTGCAGTTGTATATGTGTATATGTATGTGTATGTGTATGTATGTAGACATGTGTAGGTGTGTGTGTTTGTATATGTATATGCATGTATATGTGTACGTGTACATGTGAAGGTTTGCGTATTGGTAGGTGTATGTGTAGATGCATGTGTACATGTACATGTATATGTATCGGTAGTTGTCTGTGTAGGTGTATATGTGTGTATGTGTATATACACTTATGTGTATATGTATGTATGTAGGTATAGCTGCGTGTACGTATATGTAGCGGTTCATGTATACATGTGCACGTGTATATGCATAGGTATGTGCACATGTATGTGATATGTGTATGTTTATGTATGTGCATATGTCTATGTATATTTAAGTATATGTGCATATGTAAATGTATATATATATGTATGTATGTGTGTATGTGAGTGTGCAGGTACATGCTTCCATATATGTACATGTATGTATATAATTAGTTGCCTATGTATATGTACATGCGATTGTAAACGTAACTGTATATGCACATGCATGTGTATATGATTATGTATATGTATATATGTACGTATGCTCTCATCTCCTCATCTCTTCTTTTGCACTCTCTCTCTCCCGCGCTGATCAGCTTAACTCCGTGTATTAGTTTTCGGTAGGCAAGCTCTATTCTTTATAACCGAATCCCTGGTGATTAGACGGCGGTCGCAATGATGCGGGTATTTCGCGGCAACCTTGCAGCGCTGGTGACCTGGGCCCGGAAAGAAAAGGGCCGGCCAACCCTTTACCAGGAACCTGGGAATCAGCAAAATCGAAGTCCTTGCAGCAGTTTCGGACCAGGGCACACGTGCCAGTCTCGCTCCAACTGATTTCGAAGGGCGGAGGTCTCACTGGTTTTGTACAAGCGGTGTTTGACACGTAATTTTGGTAGAATGAGCGTCATTCTGCTTTTGCGCCCCCCTCTCTCCATTACGTCCTGTTTCGAGGCCTCATCTGGCATGGACGAGCGCAGCCTACTGGACTTCCTCGACGAGTTGGAGCCCAAGCCGCCAGTGCTGACTTTTCTGGCGGCTGTGCACAAGCACCGCAGCATCGCCCGAAAGCAGGTGCTTGTTGGACAAAGCTGGGTGTCCTCCCCCTCCCCATCCATGTTGGGCTCCAAACCTGCAAATACAAAGTAAGGTGTGTATAGTCCTTTGTGACCGCGTCAAGGTTGCTGCCGTGGTGGCGATCCTGATGAACGCGGAATCTTGGAGGAGCACGCTGCATCGTGATCAGGAAGTCGGGGCGCTAGCATGTACTGCCGCGAAATCGCACGCTAATGCTTCCACCTGCGCCCTGCATCTGCGTTTGTACGTGATGCGACGCCAGCAGATGGGCAGCACGGGGGAGACACTCACCGAGGGCACGCCTCTTGTTCCTCCTGTTCCTTTCCCTCCTCAACCTCCTAACGTGAACGCGAAACGACAAGATGCAATCTCTGTGGGGAGCGCTCGTCTGCGAATCATCTGCCCCATTGTCCGAAGACCGAAGGTTCACGCGAGGAGGAGCAGGAGAGATGAGGGAGGGCGCACGGAGAAAGGAGGCGGGAGCAGGGAGGAGGGAGGAACGGAAGGAATGAGAGGAGGGGGAAGAGGAGGAGGAGGAGGAGGAGGAGGAGGAGGAGGAGGAGGAGGGGGAAGAGGAGGAGGAGGAGGAGAAGGAGGAGGAGGAGGACCAGGGTACACGCAGGATGCATCAACGAGGTTGCAAGACACCCTCACGTGTCAAGGGCCCTTCTCATTCCTTGTAAGCCTTCCTTTTCACTGCGAGAAGCTTCCCTTTGAAAGACGAGCACCTGATGGGTCTGCCCTTCAGGCGAGAGCTCCGTTTTGAACAGAAGTTGTCTTGCATACTTCTAGTGAGTTATATCGGGCACGACACACATGACCGTAATGTCCAATGAGGTGCCCAGCGATAGCCCAGTTGTGAAAAGGAACCACCCCCACTGTTGCACAAGTGTGCACATACAGTCACATAGTTTGAGGACGTCCCGAGCGAGAACCCCCATTTTGATATGGAACCGCCCTCCACCCACGCATCTGTTACATAGGTTCATGCTTCGGGTCAGTAACACCGAGAACGTCTCGAGCAAATCCACTTCGAAAACGCACCGCTCTCCAGGCTTGAAACAGTTGCGAACGATGAAGACGAATGTGCGCGGTGCTGAGGGGAGAACGCCATTCTGAAACTGTACCGCCCTCTATCCGCGTGGCTCTTCCAAGCTTTTCAAACGAATGCGCACGGCGAGATGGCGAGAGCCCTATTCCGAAAGCGTACAACCCTCCATCTTTGCAGCCATTGCGAACGTTCAAGACAAATTTGTGGAGCGTGAACAGCGCAGAAAGTGTGAGCGTAACATTGCACATGCGTCGTGGTCGGGGTATGGGATGGCGAGCCTGGCTCGGAGTCGTTCGGAGCCCATCCCTGCGATCCGTAGCCATTTTGGCTCAAGTGGGTGAGTCTCTTCCACATTCTCATTTTCAGCATTCGTGTTAGGCAGGAGCCGTGCCGTGCTTACTTATGGAACCGACGCCTGAGCAGGCGTCTTCATTGACTTCGATCGATTCAGTCGCCGGCTGCGTTGGGCTGCCGCATCGTGAACAAGGCGGCAGTGCACCTACTTCACCTCGTGGGAGCTGAATTGCGCATATCGGCGCAAGCCCGATGCTGCCCTGTGGGACGGTGGCGGGCATTACGGCCACCAAGTACGAGAAGCTCATCGAGACGTGGACGATTGACGGCAATACTCCTTCAGGCGTCCAGCAAGCTATGGTGGCCACGATGGGGACTGCCTGCCGGATATCTGCAGGAGTCGAGAAGTCCCGTAAGGTGGTGGTTGAGGAGCAGAAGATCTTGCGAGAGCACACCATCAAGTTGGCGACATTGCAGTCGCAGTTTTGTGGGTGTGAGTGCAACGCCCAACGCACCTGTTCACCAAAGCGGCTGGTGAGGGCCGGCTGATCAAGGGGGCCGGTGGGTCGACCAATCCCACAGTGGCGAGGTCCAGCCCACGGACGACGAGGATATTGCGTACGAGCGTTACCGCATCAAGATGGGCGACCTGCCGCGGCCCGAGGAGGACGTCACACGCGAGCAGCTCGCAGGCCTACGTTGTTTACCAACCAGGCGCCGCCCTTTCGCGGACTTCGCTACATTCGACCCGTTCGGCAGAAGGATCCAAAAGCAGCAAGATGACTGGCCTGGTGATCGGTGCTTCCGGCGCCTTGCAACAGCAGCCGCTGCTTGGACCACCGACGGTGGACGATTGGAGGGCGAGTTGGATGGTCTTCCGGACTGGGGCCATCATGCTCAACCAGATCCCCCCAGCCACGGCAGACCACTACATGAACCACGTTGTCGAGTATGCGACTCGCTACGGTGAGAGTGTGTGGCCCCTGATCTACCAAGCAGGTGTGCGCGCTCGGTTGGAGCACATATCCCGTGTTGCGCGCCGGGGGCTGCTGACACACAGGCGCGCTGTGGCTAATGGAGGCGTCTCGGACTTTGTTCCAGAGCGCCCGTGGGAGTATTCCTTCAGAGCACTAGCGGAGGACGTCACCTTCTGGCGACGCGAGCTTGAGGAGCCCGCGCAGGTCATCAAGACCGGGGGGAGCAACCTCCAAGAGAGCCTCTCGGGCGACGCCCTTACGTCGCGCGGGGCTGGCGGCCAGGGCAGGCATGCCCGCAGCTCTGGACCTGACCGTTCCAGCGCTGCTCCGAAGGCGGGCGGCGGAGGCGAGCGGCCTCCGCAGCGCCAGAACCGGAACCCGTTGGACCGCGTCCACGAGGTTGACGACGAGGGGTACTTCGCCCGGAACCGCAACGGCAAGGTGATTTGCAAGGGGTTCCAGGATGGCAGGTGCGAGGGCAAACACCTCCAGTGCCCCCAGGGCCCCCGGAAGGTCCACCAGTGCAGCAAGTGCCTCAGGCAGGGCCACGGCTCCAAGGACTGTCGCCAAGGGTTTGCCAAGGATCCGAGGGGCAAGGGCAGCAGCAAGGGAAACGGCGGAAAACGCTGAGCAGCTGATGGGCCGACGCCTTCGGGGGCGGTGGATGCGAGTGAAGCGCGCGCTGGGATGGTGCCATTAAGGCAGCCTCCCGCGCCGCTGATTGCACAACCGGCGACCCCAGGGGAGATAGGTGCGAGTGAAGCGTGCGGGGAGGCGGTGCCGTTGCGGCAGCCATCCGCGCCGCTGACTGCACCGCCGGCTCGAGGGCCAGCAGAGGTAGTGAGTTCGCGCGGCGCGGTGCCAGCTGCTGCCGTTGATCTACTGGCCGCGTCGATGTGCCAGTTGCTTGACCGACTGGCACCCTTGGGGTGGACCCCGATGTCGGGCACTCTATTTGTACCAATGGTTGCAGGAAAGCTCCAGGAGCACAGGTGGGCCGCATGGCGTTTCCACTGGAGGCCTCCCTGCAGTCCACATTTTTTTGGCTTCTCTGGGCCCGACGAGCGTTCTGATAGCTTTGTGGACTGGTGCCGTTTATTGGGCGGCCTGTTGGGTTTCGACGTCGCTGTGTTCATGGCAGACGCGTGCAACGGCACCGACTTGGCAGATCTGGAACCAGCTGCGTGGAGAACTTGGGCCTAATGGCAAGTACTGCGGCTCTGTGTGGACCCCTCCGTCGTCCACATGTTCTTCACGTTCGTGCTTTCGCGGCAGTGCCCTCCGCGGGACGTGCGGTGCTGATCTGCTGGTATGCCAGGGCTCCCACCGCCTGAGAATGAGCAGGCTCTATTGGAGACTCTGATTGCGAGTCGCAGCGGGGACGGCAGTCCTGGGCAGCTCCAGGCCCGGCGCCCGCGGTTCCTGGTGAACCCGCCCGACTCGGGCGGGTTCACCAGGGGGAGCAGCATCCCCCCCTCAGGGGGAGCAGCATCTCAGCCGCAGGGGGAGCAGCATCCCAGCCTCTTCCGGGTGCCGGCCGTTCTGGAGGCAGCCGGGGGTAATCAAGTGCTCGGGCGCGTAGTCCCCAGCTGCTCCTTTGGCGCGGCCCTGGGCCCGTTGGAATTCCGAGCGTCGCCCCCGGTTCTCGGCTCGTGCCGTGGGCCTGCCGGGCGTCAGGCAGCTCGCGCCGTGGGCCCGGGCGGGCTGATGGGGTGATGCACTCGTCTGTGCGTCGGTCGTGCGGTAGGCTGTCGGGCACCAAGCGTCCAGCTGTGGTGCTCGAGGCCGTCGCCGCCACGCGCAGGAAGCCAACGATGTGCAGCCCGCTTCGCGAGCAGGCCGTTGACGTCAAGGCGGCGGAGGATCTGCGCGCAGTGGGGGGCATGCGACGACCGCACCAATCGGTGGCGAAGTTGCCTACTGTCGTCGCCTTGGGCAAGTCGCTGCACGCGTTCCTTGACGGATTCCTCGCGCAAGCGCCGGGCCTAGAAGTATCCATTCTGGACGCTATCGGCGCCGAGGAGGAGAACGCTGGTCCACCAGATGAGATCTTAGATCCGCTCATGGCCCGCATGGTGGAGTTTCTTGGCGTTGTCGATTGGGGTTCAGTGGTAGACGGGCATTTCTCCACGTGTATTCGGGCTGGCTTGCTAGCCGGATGGCAGCAGAAATCGGGCGATCCAGATCGAGCCGTGCCGCAGTGGTTGATGGCCGCGGGCGTTCTCTCCCTCCTTCTCCTCCTCCTCCTCCTCCTCCTCCTCCTCCTCCTCCTCCTCCTCCTCCTCCTCCTCCTCCTCCTCCTCCTCCTCCTCCTCCCGCGCCCCCGATGTTCGTCCTTCTCGTCCACCTTCTCCCCCCAGTGTCCTCCTTTTCCCTCCTCCCTCTTCATCATTCCTCTTTTCTCCTCCTCCTCCTCCTCATCATCATCCTCCTCCGCGTCTTCCTCCTCTCCTCCGTCATCCTTCTCCTCCTACTCCTCCATTCCTTTTCCCTCCCCCACCTCCTCGTTTTCTGCCCTCCTCCTCCTCCTCCTCCTCCTCCTCCTCCTCGTCCTCCTCCTCCTCCTCTATCCATCTTCTACTCTCTGGTCTCTGTCCGAGTCATCCTGCAGTTGCTGCTCATCCTCCTTACACTCCACTTTCCGGATCTTCTTCTTCCTCTTCGTGCTCCTTTTCCTCGTCGCCCTCCCCCGTGGCATCTGCGACCACGGCTACGACGACGCCGCCTCGCGGCGTCGAGCGCCGCCGTGCCCCCCCGCAGCGCCAAGGCGTGCGCCGTGCTGCTGGGAGGCGCCGCCGCGGCCGCGGCGGTGCGGCCGGAGGCGGAGCGCCCGCGCCGAGTGCCGACAGGGGCGCGGGTCACTGCTTACCACGGCCCTGGGCCACCTGGAGTGCCCCCCCCTCCTTGGGGCTCGACGAGCCCGACGGCGTCTTCGGGTTGGGTTCGGGCTGTGTCTTGCAGGTGGTCGGAGGGGCCCCGAGATCCGAACGCTGCAACTTCATCATGCCGGGCCCGTTCGCCCAGTCTCGGGCCCCGACACCAGCACGGATCGATCCCAGCACGGATCGATCCGGCGCGTAGAGTGCCGCAGAATGATGGGGTCTACTTTTTCGCGATGTATTTTTTCGCAAAGTCGGGTCTCAGGGGATGGGGGAGGAGAAGGAGGAGGAGGAGGAGGAGAAGGAGGAGGAGGAGAAGGAGGAGGAGGAGGAGGATGGGCTTGCCTGCGATTTCGAGGACCCACTGCTGCTTCGATGCCTTACCGATGCTAAGTTTCGCCTCCAGCCACCCATCCTGCAGACGAGTCAGTCATTTCGAGATGGGCTTTCGAGCGGACGTGCGTTGTTCTCGGGACTTGCGGCCATCGATGGCTCGTTGTTGGATCCTGACAGCAGTTGACCCTCAAGGGCAGTCTTAGGGAGCTATCGTCGGAATTGTATGTAATTCGTGTCAGGAGATTAGTCTGGCCGAGCTTTCTTGGCTTTTACAAGTGTCTGTATCTCTGCCAGCTTCCGATCACCATTCTGATCGATTGCCAAGCCATCATCGACGGGCTAACGGTTGGCCGAACCAGGTGTTGCCGTCCTTCAGGATCTATTCTGAGGTGTAGCACAAGATATGGTTTAAGATCGAGGATGTTGGCCTCGTTATTTTCAGATTCTCAGAGCTCCCTCCCATCAGTCATGGACGAAGGCCCAGCTGCGAGGACTCCCTTGGCCCCATTTCAGGGGCAACAAGTTGGCATATCATCTTGCGAAGACAGGAGCTCGCAAACTCCCCAGGGATCAGGAGTGGACTCGTCGTCTGGGGCTTGCGTGGTCGGCGGCTATACATGTGGCGTACTACACAGGTCGAGTTGTGCACAACATTTCTTTGTCACGGTTCCCTGACGTAGAATAGCCCCGCTTCAAGCGGGGGGCGGATCCGTTAGATCTCGTTTCTGACCCTTGCGGCCACAGGCTGAAGCAGCTCCTGCATCGAGGCCGTGCCTTGAGGTCCCAGACATTCTCAGCAGGGCTCACCCGTCTCATTCGCTCTGGTGGGCTGGTTCTGGGACCCGTGGCATGGTCTGGTGCATCAAGCGTGGCTCCCACGGGGCCCATCAGATCCTCAATCTTGGCAGGGAGTGTCGCCCGCCCACGGCGTGGGGACTGCGCTCTATCAGATCCCTCAAGAGGGGCAAGGACCCCTTTCATGACGCCCTCCTGTCGCGTTCATTCCTCGCCTCCGTTCATTTCGAGCTCCTGGAGCGGGGGTGGGTTGAGAGGCTGTATGAGGTCGAGGACGAATCACGATACCTCGAGCCTGAGTACGATTTCGCTCGACCTCGGTGCTGTGCGAGCCCTCGGAGCTCTCTCTCGCTCTCTTTCTCTCTCTTGGCCTCGCCGCTATTTAGGCGTCTTGCAGGCCTCGCGGGGGCCTCTAGGGCCGTCTTGGGACGATCGTGCGGGCCAGTGGAGCCGTCTTGGAGCGTCGGAAGCAACGGCGAGAACGCTGATATCATTGAACATCCATCTGGAGGCCGTCTGGAGGATATCTTGGGCCGTCTTGGGTCCATCTTGGCCGTCATGGAGGCGTCTTGGGACTGTCTTCGAGATCATCCCGGGCCATCCCGGCCATCTAGGAAACATTTTGGAGGCCACATTCGACCATCTTGGCCTTCTTGGCGGCGATTTGGGCAACGGGACGCCTGTGGTGGGCGGCTCTCCCGGGCTTCGGGTGGCCGTCGGGATCGGCCGAGCTCCCACCGGGAACCTCACAGACGTCCAAGCCGCCAGATATCTGGCACGCCGTGCATCCCTGTGGTAAGCCAGCTGGGGGCGGCGGGTCGAAGACGCCTACGGCACATCACCGCCGTCCCTTGCCTGTTGACATTGCCCATGCGGCCGGCCGTTGTAGAAACCCTTCGGGGAACACTTTGGGGAGGATGGCGGGGAAGATCAGGAGGAGGAAAGGGAAAGGAGGATGAGGAGGATGAGGACGAGGAGGAGGAGAAGAGGAGGAGGAGGAAGAGGAGGAGGAGGATGATGATGATGAGGAGGACGAGCAGGAGGAAGAGGAGGAGGACGAGGAGGAGGAGGAGGAGGAGGAGGCGGAGGAGGAGGCGGAGGAGTAGGAGGAGGAAAAGGAGGAGGAGGAGGGGGCATCTTGGGAGCCGCTGGGGGCACTCTTGGGGCCTCCTGTGAGCTCCCTGGGAGCCTCTTGGAGGCATCTTGGGGCCTCCTTTGGCCTCTCGGCGGCCTTTGGGGGCTTCTCGGGCGCCTCTTTGGCCGTCTCAGGGCATTCCTGGCCCGTGTGACGCCGTCGGAAGCCGTTTTGGGGGCCTTGCTGGGCCCACTTGAAACCCTCTTGGGTTGCTCCAGGGTCGTCTTCTTGGAGGCTATCTTGGGAGTCTTGGAGGCCTCTTGGCCGTCTGGGGGCCCTCTTGGGGCCGTCTTGGGGGCCTCTTGGGCCGTTCTGGAGCCATCCTCGAGGCCTCCTGGGCGATTTTGGGGCGATCTTTGGGGGCTCTTTGGCCGTCTCGGGCCGTCGAAAGGCCGACAAAAACGCAAATGCCACAATCTTTCGACAACCTAAGGGCAATCAATGATTTTGGCCTCTTCGAGCCTTCCTGGAGGCCCTCTTGGAGGCATCTTGTGCCGTCTTGGAGGCCTCTTGGGGGCCTCTTGGGCCCTCTGGGACCGTGTTGGAGGCTTATTGGGTGGATTTGGAGGCATTTTGAACCCTCTTGGGCCATCTTGGAGGCCATCTTGGACCATCTTGGGCGAACCTGGAGGCCATCTTGGGTCAACGTTACCATCTTAGAGGCCGTCTTGGGCGGTCTCAGATGA